TTTTAATGGCACTTAATTGTACAAAAAGGAAATCCATAACCACATAAGGAGAAAAGTCAAGTATTTCCAAGCTCTTTATAAGAACAATTTAGAGCAGACAAGTGCTTTTCAAACCTTGGATTGGAATCAGTCCGACAGTCTGGCCATGAGAGCGGTGGTGCGCATTTGTAAGCCTACAGTGCCACCATTTGGTCGTGTTGGGGAGCGTCACTTGCCAATCTTAAAATAACAAATTATGTTTGGTTATGCATCAAAAGTCCTGTTTAAAAAAAAAGAAGAAATAATTAAACAATAATCTTACAGTTGCCACAGTAAGAGTTTTAACTCTGCACTGAACCAGTTTTCAGGAAACAGTGGCTCTGCGGAGGGCTTCAAACTCTGCCTCAGTGTCGGGTATATGATTTCAAACATGAGCTGGACCCGAACTCCTTCCAGGTGCCAAATTAGAGAGGAAAAGATCCAGTCCCATTGTTAGTGTTGATAGATTATCGTAGGTCCGTGCCATCTTAGATAACGAGCAATAACCTGCTCTTCAAGAACAGGGGAGGTTTGCCAAGAAGGAATGGTGATTACAGTCAATTAAGACTGATGACAAAGCACCAATAATAACCCAGTGTGTGTGTGAGCATGTGTGAGCTTGTTTTATTCACTCATTCTTCCAAACTACCCTGTTTCGTGTAATCAACATCTGTTGTGACAGGCACCCTCCTCCTTTCTCAGAATGGCCCACTTCAGATAATGAGTGTCATACCAAACTGCAGGGCGAAGGCTGATTTTACTCCTCTTTTTACTCCTCCTCTTTGGCCTCTGCTCTCACTACCCTCTGTTTTCCTCTCTATCATTCAAGACATCCATTGTTGGGAACCTTGAAAACAAGAGACAAATGCTTTCACAGCATTGTCAGTGGTGGATATGTGGGGGTGACAGAAGAACAGAGTGCAGTCTTGTTTTCTTTAATGAAAGCGATGCTTCACCGTTGACTAAATGTCTTGTTAATGTCTTTATTTTACATTCACAATTTTGTTTTTTGGTATTCAGACAAAACATGAGAACTTGTGAGATTTTTCCTACAGATTATTCTGTTATTGCCATTTAAATGGATTCTGTCAGTCTTATCTGCACCGATGCACTTGCATCTGCAGACCTATGTCTATGAAGCATATGTACTCCTTGGGAAAAGAAAGAAATCCAGATCTGCAGCCTTTGCAGCTCAGCAGGTTTGTTTGCTTCAGTGGTTTAGGCGCCATCTTCTGGTAAAATAGGTCAACTCCAAGAACCCAGGATGGATGGTTGTGAGGACAATAATTAGAAAACAAAAAAATAGTATTACATAACGTCATAAAGGATCTTTCCATATTTAAAAAAGTTTCCACCTGACCCCCTCAGAATCACATAAAATTAAGCCATTTGAATTTTAAACGCATACTATGAGCATTTCCTGAGTTACAGCCTCTCAGTCCACCTCATTCACCTTTTTCTACAGAAAGTTTGAGCAAAGCTTGTACAACCAAATCTTTATGAAAGTCCACAAGTTGGTAAATATTCATAGCACAAATTTTACATGGCTTCATTAAATACACTACACATTGTTCTAGAATATTTGCAGATCCTAAGGTGGGAAGTGCCCCATGATTTTTCATATGTAGCGGTGGCACGGTAGTTGTATAAACCTTTATTTTTTCACATAAGGCTAAAAAGGTTTTAAGCCTGCAGTCGGATCTGTGTTTTTAATCAGTTACTAAGAAGTGTAAGTAAAATCATTTTAGGTCAGAATTGCTTACAAAATGAGACCGATTGGTTCAGACAAGTAAAAGTGTGAGACTGCACTGAATGTCACTCTAGTGGGTTGATTAATAAATCTATCCATGTTCTTCAAACTTAATATTTATCTCAGAACGATGTTCTGAAAAACATAAAACCTAGTAGTGTCATGAGTACAGTGAACTCTTTTTAAGGTATCATAACCGTGAGAGTACTTAAAACTACAGAAAAGCTTTGCTGTTTTGAAACTACCTTGTATTCTTATATTAATTCATCAAAACCTCCAGTTTAAAGTGTCAAGTGGCAGCAGCTGGAATGAGCAGTGAAGCTGTTATACTTTCATTCTCTTTTTAAGTGTCACCATAGCAGGGTGTGAATATCAAAAAATGCAAGTCCTTTTAATCTGAAAGTTGGGTTCCACGGTTCATTTTTAACTTCACTCTAAAAATTAGTGCATTCGGCTCTGAGAGTTTGCAGGAAGACATGAAATATTTTGAATACACCCTCTGACGTGTTCCCAGGCTTCCAACTACAGTGAGATAAAGTGCAGGCTTGTGTCTGCTTTTATACATATACAGCAGAGGAAATAATTAATATTAATGATCATTTACCAAGAGGCAGCCAAGAAACCTAAATGACTTAAAGTTCCTCCTGAGGTGTGTGCGAACCTGGTGACCAACTACAGCAAAGGTCTCACCAAGGGTTTCTCCACCGCGCACTAAATGATGACTTCCTTGAGGATCAAATATTTATTTCACTTGGTTTAATGTGTTAAACCGAATTTGATTTAATGTGTTTTTTTCCGGACTTTTGGTTGATATTCTGTCTCCTTCCAAAAAGTGAAACTACCAGACAAAATGAGAAGCTGTAAAAAATGAACTACTGAGTGAACTGGGATCTACGTGCAGAGAAGCCAAAGAAAAAGCAAGATTAAGACCTAAAAAGAAGAAACCAATATATAGCGGGCCAAGGAGCAGCATGGATGAAAGTGATGTTCAGTGCCGAATGACAAATCTGCAGTGTGAAACATTTAAAGACGACTACCTGAACAAATTTTCTGGCTAATGGGGTTGCATATCAGGTAAAGTACCGGGCGGCATGACCATCATTAACTCAGCACTATTCACACAGGATCACACTTGCATGTTGGGCATTTTTCTCATCTGACAGAAAGTAGGTTTGGTGATAATGAAGCCATTTTTCAGGATCATAATGCATCTTGCTGCAGAGCAAAGAGTGCTCAAAAAGGCAGCTAATATCAACTTCGTGCCATGGGCAGCAAACAGTCTGGATCCAAGTCTGATTGAAAATTTATGGTGGAAATTGAAAAAGTAAATTTCCATAGTGAGCATCCATGCTGGAAAGCTGATCTGCCAGCCGCTATTTGGGAAGGCTGGTTGAGAGAGCAGGTTGATACAGAATATTGCTTTTCATTAGTGAAATCCATCCATGCCTCAGAAAAATCAGGCCGTTATGAAAGCCACAGGAGATGCAATAAATTATTAATTTTGGTGTTTTTGTAGATTACGCCATCATTTTCCCCTCAACATCGAGTGTTTCCATTTCTACTTTATCTGGAAAAAATATAGCGTTAATTAAAATAATTCCATTTAATTTATTTGAGGCATGTTTGGCTGTTAGACAAAGAAGAAAAGCAATAAGAGTGAAGGTTGAAATGATGCTACTGAGACCTGCTAAGATGTTTGATTTGAAGATGGTGGAGCTGACAAAAAGACGAGTGTTAAGGTTTTTATTGAGTGTGACCAGGATGGAGAAGATTAGAAATGGCTACGTCAGAGGAGTGGTTCAGGTTGAGCACTTTGGGAACAAAGTTGGAGAGGCGAGGTGAGATGATTAGGACATGTGCAGAGGTGGGATAGAGCATATACTGGACACAGTGGACAAAGGATGCTGAAGATGGAGCTGGTCGGCAGGAGGAAAAGAGGAAGACCTCAGAGAAGATTTATGGACGTAGTGAAGGAGGACATGCAGAGGGCTGGTGTGACAGAGAAGGATGGAGCCAGGGTAAGGGTTAGGGTTATATACCCTGTGATGATCCCTAAAGGGAGCAGTTGTGTCATAATTGTGATTTGTTTATGTCCTTCAAAAAGTGGTGATTTCATTTGTCAGTTACCCTTAGTTTTGATATTACTTTCATTTATTTTATTAATATGTGTGAACATATGCACCGTGTCCCTCTCTAGCTTTAGTGTTAGAGACTAAAAGGGAAAGCATTCTGTACATTCTTTCAAATCTTATTTTAGTTAGTGTTTCAAGAGCATATTATTTTAGTTTGTTTTTGTTTGTTTGGGTTTGTTTTTCAACCCAATTATACTTTTATACTTCAATTCACTAATTATACTTCACTCACCTGATGACCTTGTGTTGGACAAAATGAGCAATCACTACTTTATCTTTAATTTCCATGAAACAAATTCTAATTTGCAAGCACATTTCTGTTTGTTGTTGTTGTTATGCCAAAAGGTGATTTATGAAACAGGATTTATGACTGGGGTCATATATAAAAAATAAAGAAATTACCTCTTTTACAAGTATCTTTATGAGTCTGAGTTATTGTACCTACAAAAAAAATCAGAACTGTGATATTATCCTTGTTACAATTTCCTCTTGGTTCGATCTCTTGTAAAACACATTTTTAATTTGAATGACATTAAAATAAAGAATAAACTTTCTTTCTGTTCTTTCTGCTTAAAAATGTCTTAATATCATTCATGAACGACATGTTGAACATAGGCCAACGAGTCATTTACAACAGTTTAAATACAGACAATCATTTTGGGGAAAATATGGAAATCACTTTTTCTTATCAGTGTATAGTATCATGAATATCCATCCACTGCTCCTCTACTGTAGTGTTTTACCTTAGACACCAGAGGGCGCTTAGGAGCTATATCAACCCCCTTTTATCAAAATAAAGAGGTATACGGTCTCACAGTCCCATTTTTAAACTAAAGCTTGCTGCCAATACTCAAACTTTTAGACAGGACAGTGCACTCAAGCCCACTACTATCAGTTTCTGAAATTAAAGTAGACAAACTCCTCCGTGGTGCTTTGAAAAGTCTGTTCTTAACCTAGAAAACTGAAATGAGTTACCTTACTTCCAGCAGGGACGGAGAGTAAAGCTGAAGGTGCAAGGTGTAAAAGACATAAACACGGAGGCGTATTCATGAGGTCTAACCACGCCTCCGTTAGACTGCGCTTCCGTGTTTACACACCCACAAAAATAGGAGACTCCAGCGGCCGTCGGGCGGCTGTTTACCGAGCAAGCAGAGTAGCAGTGAGGAAAGTGACAGCCACACGGGAGGCTCGGTGTATGGTGAAAGACAGGTGATTTCAGCTTCCACGGTCGCATTTTAAAGCGTAATGTTCACTCGAAGGGGGCATGGCGACGTCAAGAAATCTACACAGAAAGTTCTGGACCCAAAGAAGGATGTGTTTACCCGGTTCAAACACCTCCGGACTCTGTTAGGTGAGTGAAATGTCACCGGGGAGCTGGATGCTGCATCGTCGAGGCTTAGCTAAGTGGAGCTAGCTAGCTGGCACCAGCCGACTGCTAACGTCAAACAAGGCGTCAGGTCAGCTGGCTGCTTAGTGCGAGTCCAGCCGGCTGACCTGTAACATGCATCTGCATTATGCCGGTACCCTCTGCTGTTTGAAGTCTTTGTTCATTTAAAATATGAGACAAATCGCACTGTGATGAGGTATGGATGCTAGCTAATACAAGCTAGCTCCCCTGCGGCTACCTAGCCAGCCAATAATGCTAACTGATGCAGGGAAACAGATGCCGAGAACAGGCTTTGCTGCTCTTCGGTCCTGTGCCATCATTATAGTGTTAAACACGTAACTGAAGCTTCGTCATTCAGCATCGAGTCGCACAGGTTGAAGTCTCTGTTTGGACTTTTGGAGAGAAGACAGGGCTTTCTTACTGCAGGCTACCTTCCCGAGTTTCAGTCAACTTGCCTCTACCTTTTTTTTGAGAAATTTGACATGATATTGACATAAACGTGTTACACAAGAGCAGTCATTTATTTTAATCCACTGGACAAGGAAGTGCAGAATTTATGAGGCTCATAAAACTGTTGTCTTCTTGCGCTGCGTTAATAAAAAAGAGACACGACTATGTTCTGCAGTCACCTGACTTGTGTTGTCCATACGAGCTGTTAAACGGTCTGAGTTTGCACGGCTTGTTCCATTGATAAACTGTAATAATGACAAGTGAATGCTGAATCTACACTGATTTAAGCAGAACCGATGACGTGCAAATTGTACATTTTATCATGCCGAATCATATCAAAGACAAAAATAAATGCAGTGCTGGAATTTGAAGGCACCATCATCCTTTTTATAAATGAAGAGCGCATCCATTGGCTGAAAAATATATGTAATAGGCTAATATCTGGTGATATGTCACTGGTGTATTATTGGTTTCTCGTATTTGGAACTCAAACGTTGTATTAGAGGCCAGGAGGTCAAATGTTACAGTCGCCTCCCATCAGAACTCTGTTGACAACATCATGAATGCTGTACTATATCTTGTGGACTTCTGTTATTCTCCGTGCTTTGTCAGTAATCGAGGTCAGTGTGGAGAGGAACAAAGAGATCTGGAGAAAAACTGCAATCTGCTCACTCTGAGTGCAATAAATCATGTCTTTCAGAAATATCATTCAAAGTAGGTCATGTATGTGTATTTCTTGACGTGGACCACACAGAGGTGAACATCTAGGCAGTTAATTTTCTCTTGTTTTTATTTGATGATTAATGGTTATATCCCCAGAGTAGCTGGAAAACAGATGCAGTAAACACAGTTTCTTCTCTTGTTTTCATTTAGATTTTATTTTATTTATTTTTTTACATAAAGCTTTGAAAAATATTGGAAACCTTTTTACATATTGTCCCAAAATACACACGATGACTGATTTGGGTACGTTTTAGTTACAGTAAACACTAATTGCTTTTAGTTAAAGCACTTTTAGAGCTTCTAAAGTTTGGTATGTCTGTGGTGGCAGTGGTATTCAGAGGAAAGTCCGAGCACGTTTGCCATGTTTAGAGTTTAAACCATCGGTTCATTGACACGTGCCTGCTTGTAACCTTTTCATATAGTGACTTGTTATCCAATTTATTGATCCTCAGTACTGCAGCAGGATTGTAATAGCCACTGTCAGCCTAACAGTTGTAGCTTGAGCAAAGCTGTGGGAAGTTGATATGGTTGAAGTTTTTTTGCTATCATAGCAAACTTTCAATGTCAAGACTAGTACAGCCAAGGTGGAGGTCAGCACAGTGCTCTGCCTGCCATCTGTGTTTTTCTTTCCCTCATGTGCAGCTAAAGATAAGGCTGGTCTGTTTGTCCAGCAGCTGATAGTTGGGCCGACGTTGCAATGTCCCCCAAATTCCCAGATTACACCGAGCATGCAGTTCAGGAAGGATTTCCTCCTGGTTCTGCTGGTTCCTGTGTGGCAGGAAGCTTGATGAGAGATGGGGGTGAGGTGGAGGACAGGGCAGGACAGGGACTTGGATAGAGCTGACCTTCTTTCACCAATCACGCTGTTTTATCTTTTTGAAATATTTAAATGTTATTATTCATAACACTAGCAAGAGAAGACATTTCCAGAGGCGGCAGGCTGGAACAGCTTCTGGTGGGAGGAAATTTAATATGTAGCTTCTTGTTAAACTTTACAACCTGTATGTCAAGCATCCACAGCTGGGGTTTACCACACTTATTTACTATGTTCCAAGGAGAAGATACCATTAAGGCACAGTATGTTTTTTAATGACTCTTATGTTTTCAGTAATCCTTTAATTTCTGCACAGAAGTTTTCAACCCGCTCGTCTTCTCTCAAGGTCATTGTCTATTAAGTTATCCAAAATTTGACCTCTTTATGTCATTGCAACACCAACACCAGAAATTTGGTAAACAGGCTTGTTAGATCAGTGGTACTATCAGCAGTATTGTACTTGAAAGGACAATCTGTGGTCTGGGCTATTTTCAGAGTGGCCCTCTATTGGTTTTCTGCTCACTGAGCCGATCTGTGGGATAGAGTGTGAAAGCTGCTGCATGTTAATTTGCTGGTCATGCCTGGCTGCATTTGGCTGAGGTTGTTAATTACAGGAGCCCAGCAAAACCACCTGATCACTCACTGCTTCACACACTTGTGGCACCAACCGCTTTTCCTTTGACTTCTCTCTGTGCGAAGTCTTTCTCATCCTCGGCCCCCACCTGCTGAGCTCGCTGTGCATCCCAGTGCTCCAGGTTGTTCATAGTGACCTGGAGTATGATGATGAAAGTGTAGGAAATCCTTCATTGACATGAATGTAAACAACAGTGTTTGTCTGGAGGAATACCCATTGTATCCCCGGGGCAGTATTTCTTTTTTAGTGCCAAGTCAGCTATAAACGAGTCACGCTGCTGCATTTGAAGCTCGTAAATGTTTAACTCAAAGCTTTTCGTTTGTGAGGACTTGAGACCGGGTGCCTTGGTTGAAGGAGTAAATTAGCTGTTGTTTCTTTACTTTTCAGCTGGTGTAAACAGGCTCAGCTGGAATCTGCTTGTGAACTGCACTGGAACAAGTGTTGCCAGTGATAACACTCAGGTGTGTTTGTTGTAGGTCTTGGTATTTTTAAGCTTGCAACCAAAGGTAAACCTGGGGAAAAAATGAAGCTCTGTACTCATCGTTCACAAAAAATGAAAATGGTGTCATTACACTCTGCCTTTCTTCGTGTGCTGTTGTGTGGGTCGGGGTCAACTGAAAGTGCTGCTGTTAGAGGAGGAAATCACAAGTTGAAGCACCAGGGGGGAACAATGAGCACAACACTGGAAGTGCTCTCAAGAAGGTCCTCTGTGTGGCTGAAGTAAAGGCTGAGATCACTTGACTTCTGATTCTGCCCCATTTGTACAACACTCAGGTTAGACTTGTGAACAAGTCCAGCCTCTTACCATCTTTTATCCCACACTGCGTAGGCAGGATATCAACACTTAAAAAGTGTAGTGCAGTTCAATGCAAGTGTCATATTAAACTGTCCTTTCAGGATTTTATTAACCTTTCACAGTCTTGAGTTTTGTTTCTTATTTTCATGCTATCACCAACTAAACTTGTATCCGAGTCATCATGGATGATTAAAGCTTTTTGACACTAATTGGCATAAGTGGACTCTTTAATGTTACAAGTAAAATAAATCTGACCACTTTTAAACCAAAACATTTACCTGGTTTCCAGATAAATGAAGAAGTATGCAGAAAGAAATCATTGTTAGTTCCCTGTCAGATAAACTGTTAATATAATGATGTTAGAAGCATTGTGTGCTGCTTAGATTAGATGGCAGCTTTAACAGCTCTGTAGTGTTGCCTATTACAGCAGCACCTCCTCTCATAATGGTCTAGGCATTTAGCATCTTAGCACGTACTTAACACGTGCTAAATGCCTTATTAAGAGAAGCACAGAGATGCTTCAGAATAGAAATGAGGAATATCTAACACTGTATAATCATGGAATAGTGTAAAGCTGCCTGATTTGACTGTACATTATAAATTGTTGTAGACTTTATCAGTTAAATGTATATTTAATATATATTTGCTCATAAAGGTGAATGTTTTTAACTGCTTTATATTAGTTGATAGGGTCGGCAGGACTATGACTCTGTCATGGATATCAATTATTTATTGTGTTGCAGTGATATCTACCAAGGTGGTCATGTTAACCACATGGTTTATTTAGGCTGGAGGGGAAGATCTATTTCCTTTCATAAAGTCTATAATTTTTACTGTCTTGTCAATCAAGAATGGGAGCAGCTACTGGCATCAACAGGTAGACGACGCTTCTGCAGCAAAACAGAACTTAGCCATGCAGGTTATCAAATAGTCACTTCTAGATGTTATTGTTACTTACTGTGCTGCTTCACTGATTTAAGTACCCTTTGAGTCAGTAATAAAACCCAAATATGTGTATATCATGGTGCAGTTGATCGTAATGAAAGTGTCAGCTTCAGTCTCTCAGGGCTATTTATCAGAAGCAGCATCGCCCCCCTCCCTAGAGACAACTAGACTTCTTAAAAATCGATCCTTAAAAGAAGAGACTGGATTATAACTGTCATGATCTCAAAAATGTAAAAGCAGCAAAACATGTTTGTTTTTGTCCACATCTGCAAAAAGGCTCATGTGAGCCTATTACAGTGTGAAAAATGGCTGATGATCTAACAGATAGCTGCTGGGCAGACGAATGTAAAACCTCATCCCCGTATTTGTTTTAGATAAATCAGTGGAAGAGCTTTTTTAAAAGAAGTTATAGAGGAACTAAGGTAAGCTGGGGAAAAAGCTTCAGTTCTACATAAAGACTGAGTTATCTGGCCACACACAGGAAGCAGGTGGAAGGTGGAAAACGAGTGTTTTGACCAGTAGTTGTCAGAGTCACTCTGGTAAATGAATGATGATTTATTTATTCATTAGCTACATTGGAACAGATCAGAGATTAATAACTC